ACTGAATAAAAATGCATTTAAATTCATTATATTTTCATAACCTTTAATAAATCCCAATATTAAGTATGCAAAAACTGTAGTCTCCTAAATACTGATACAATATCAAACTTGCAAGCACAACCATGCACATGCAAACAAACAATACACTTTCACTCATACACGCACACACATTCACTCACAAATATTAATAAATCACACTCACTCACTCACTCACTTACTCACTCTCACACACAGTGCTTGACCCAAGCTACGACTTGACTTGAATTGCCTGACATAAAGCAGTGACTTGACTTGACTTGCTTGATTCTCACAAAAATTGACTTGGACTTGCTTGAGACTTGAAGGTTAAGACTTGAGACTTACTTGTGACTTGCACATGTGTGACTTACTCCCACCTCTGCTTCACATGGCTTCAGGGTGTTAATAAAGGCCTTCTGAAGCAATGCATTTGTGTAAGACAAATATCCATATTTAAAACTTTATAAACGGTAATCTCTAGCTTCCGCTAACTGTTGTACGCATGTTCACGAGAGAGTGGCATTCCAGTGGATGACATAGGTGTAGCGTGAGTTCTAGTGAAATGCCTTGTGGGATTTGTTCAGAGATGAAGGCCATAATGCTAACGTTGTCCACATGAGGGAGCCACAGGATAGCAAATCCTTCAAGATCTGTTCAAAGACTCTGAAAATGTTTCATTTAAGTGACTGAATAAAAATGCATTTAAATTCATTATATTTTCATAACCTTTAATAAATCCCAATATTAAGTATGCAAAAACTGTAGTCTCCTAAATACTGATACAATATCAAACTTGCAAGCACAACCATGCACATGCAAACAAACAATACACTTTCACTCATACACGCACACACACATTCACTCAGAAATATTAATAAATCACACTCACTCAAATCACCACTCTCTCACTCTCTCACTCACAAACTCACTCACTAAGAACAAGTGTCTTATCATTTATTATACTACATAGCATTATACATCAGTAGTTGTCCGCAACAAACAATGTTGATCTGCTGTGGTACAAGTCCTTGTGCAGATTGAAAGAATGCCATCATCTCCTGTTCCGTTGTTGTCTCCTTTTTGTAGTTTTAAATAATGATTTAATGATTTGATATTTATTTGCCGCTGTCACGGCTATAATGTTTCTCCGACGAGCCGCTTCTTCTTCGGCTTTTGCCGTGGTACTGCGGGTTACACCAGCAACATGCCCGTGGGCACTGCTGACTAGCGGTTTGCATGTGTACTGCACGTTGACACGGACAACGAAGCAGAAGTATAAATGAAAACTGACGCATAGCCTACGGCGTAAAGGCTACGGCGTAGGTCCGACGCAGAAGTATAAATCAGCCTTTACTCCTACCTCTGAAATAAGTTTATTATTTATAATTAATATGATTGTTTATTTACAGGTTAAGAATGCTGTCCTTCCTTTACAGCAAGTACTTTTAAGGCAGCTCCAACCAAATTCTAATGACAGCCCGGGAGTGAAAGAAATGAAAATGGAAATCGGAGATGATCTCCAAAGCCGTTACCCTGATGAAAAGCAGGCCTTCCTGCTACTAAACACAGCAAGCTACTTAGACCCACGATTCCACCGTCTAAACCATTTGTCAGATGAACACAGAAAAGTAAGTGTGAAGATATTATCTGAGTTAACGACTAGAATAGAAGAGTCAGAAAGTGAGTGCGCTGATGTTGTAAAACACCCGGACGCAAGAAAAAAGACTGCGCTGTCTGCCATGGGCAACCTGTTTGACGGTGTATACAGTCAGACCCAGAGCAGTGCAGGAGAAGGCATCAGGGCTTTGGAGCATGAGATGGATATGTATGAATGAGAAGCTATGCTACCCACTGACGAAAACACTCTTAGTTAGTGGCAAAAATTGTGCGGTATGTATCCACATATTGCACAGCTGGCAAAGACATCCTTGATCATACCTGTCACCAGAGACATTTTAAAAGTTGGGGGGGAAGCTGTCACGTGATGTGATCCTCAACAGCCAAACAAATTTTGTACATAATGTACAAAGCAAGTACATTCATGTTCATATAATAAATTCTATATAGAATACCAATTGCCGTGTTTTAGAGCACCTGAATGACAGTTTTGGGAACATGCCATGATAGCTTACAGGAAGCAAGACAGCTACAGGGACCTATTTTTTGTGATATCATACTCAAAAACCCTAAAGCCTCGAGCACACTGGGACAATTATTGCGCACGCTTATCGCCAGCGTTTTTTGAGATGTTTTTCGACGCGTCTCTGTGTTCATACCCAAAGCGATTTTCACTGGCGATGAGCCGTGACCGTGCAAATTCACTCCCTGACATTAGATGGCGCTTAAAGAAAAACAGCAATACCCCGGTACACAAGATGGCGCTGCGCAACTTTACGCTTCTGACACCCGCTTGTCACACAGAAGAAGAAGAGAGCCAGTATTTACGTTTTTATCAAAACCATTCACATGCTTTGTCAACCGGCAAACAAAACATCCCAGCTATTAGCCGTTCAACACAGCCCTGACGTCTAGGCTAAACCAAGGCAAAATTTGGGCTGTCAGTTAAAATTTAATAGACGTCTAATCACAGCCCAAGAATAGACTAGACATCAGTTAGACCACTATTGAGCGACTACACGTATATGTCTAATAGACAGTGAATATGGGTCTAGGCTAAAACAAGACTGAATTTGGGCTGTCAGTGAAAATTTAATAGACGTCTAACCATAGCCCAAGAATAGACTAGTCATCACATAGACAGCTAATGAATACCTACATATATACATCTAACTGACAACAAAATGGCAATCCATCCAAACAAATTATATATACAGCTTTTATTAAGAAAAATAAAATTTTTAACAACTTAGATAACTTAAGACAATACAAAATGATAAAAATACAAAATAATTAATGACAAAATAAAATATTATAAATACAATACACTTAAATAGAAATATTATGATAAAAAAATCTGGAATTTTTAACAACTTAAGATAATAAAAATATAAAAATGAAAAAATAAAATATTTTAAATAACTCAAGCTATTTAAAAGAAAAATAATCGAATACAAATCAAGAGCATGTTATCACACTTAACATTAAAACATTACGGATAAATGACAACATAAAAAAAAGCTGAAAAAGATTAACAAATAAAACAACTTTTTAATTATTGGTTTTATTTCTTGTTTAAAATGCTTCCCAACATCATTGCTCAAGTCTGCCGGGAAGTTGGTCATCACAGCATCTGCCAAATAAGAAAACAATAATAATAACATAAGAAAAGATTTTTTGACAATTATTTTTACTTTAATTATACTAATTGTGACAGGGAGTCATTCTCTTTTGCTTGGATGCCTACTAAAAACAAAAACGAGATATATAGATCAACTCTATGCGAAGGAGATGTGTTGCACTGCGTGAGGCAAATGGTGGTCACACCAGATACTGACTGGTTTTCGGACCCCACTGGACCCCCCAATACAGTAAAACTGCACATTTTAGAGTGGCCTTTTATTGTGGCCAGCCTAAGGCACACCTGTGCAATAATCATGCTGTCTAATCAGCATCTTGATATGCCACACCTGTGAGGTGGATGGATTATCTCAGCAAAGGAGAAGTGCTCACTAACACAGATTTAGACAGATTTGTGAACAATATTTGAGAGAAATAAGCCTTTTGTGTACATAGAAAAAGTCTTAGATCTTTGAGTTCAGCTCATGAAAAATGGGGGCAAAAACAAAAGTGTTGCGTTTATAATTTTGTTCAGTGTATATTATGTATCATCATTCAGTGTATTAAAAAAGAGAGAGAAGCTCTCTAGTAAATGTTGTGTGTTTTATACACATACCTCTAATGACCGAGAAAAGTGCAGTCTTTTCAAATGCCTCTTTCTGCAGCGGACCACCCCCCTTCATGTTGAATTTAGACATGAGGGAATTTTTTAAAACCCTAAAATATAATACAGATTGAGGTGGTTAACAATTGTGGACAAAGTTTGACATTTAAAAATGACCAGTAAAGGAATTCTTTTTTAAATTTCAAATACAAAAGTGTTGTAACTTATTGAGTATTGACACCACAATGTTTGATTAACCCTTTCAGCGGTGAGTTTAAAATATTCTAGCTGTCCCCCCAGAGTGAGTTTTTTTAAGGCGACCATTATTTTAGAACGTTTCCCCTTATTGTTTCCATGGCGAAGCGTCATGCTTGTCACATGACACACTGTGGCCACAATAACACTGTATGACGGATCGCTTTTATTTCGCTTTTCCTTTTTTATTTAAAATATTCACAAGCTTGCATACTATGTCATGAACAATCTGATATTCCGATTCATAATTATGTGTAAATGAGTGTGTTTTGTCTTTTAAAAACCTTTCTAAATGATCTAGATCGTGATCTGTAATGTGAGATGGGCGCCGCCATGTTTGTTCTCTCTGCAGTTCAGAGAGTCCTGTCGGATTTACAGCACGTGAATTCATCAATTTCTCCCGAAATACAAGTAATAAGTGGCCGGTGAACTGGGTGAAGAATAGAGTGAACTTTATAGTTACTTACACTATGTGTATCTGATATGAATAAAACACATCGGCAAACTAAATTTGAATGGATTGTTATAGTTGCTTCCATAGACATATGTGTGTATTTTACAAACTCTAAATGTATTGTTTTGCTAGTACTTATGTGTATTTAAATGTCTGAAACCTAAAATAAACATTATGTGGTTAAAAACACTGCATAGTTGTGATAATATGACAAGAGCAGTGCACTTCTCTCTCTGGCTCAGTGCCAGCTAAAGCGCAAAAGTACAGTTTGAATTTGGCAGTTATGTGACGTCACCGAACGTTCTAAATCCTATATGTGGGACCATACTCCCAGGGGCACGGAAATAAAAATCCCATATGTGGGACTGTACTCCCAGGGGCAGGGAAATAAAAATCCCATATGCGGGACCATACCGCTCAAAGGGTTAATGTTGCACGTTTTGTAGGCTTTACCTGTCCAGCATCCTTCTGGCACTGTCTTTGAGGTTTCTTCCTTCAATTCTGCACAACTTTGACACCTGAATAACACATGCCATTGTCAGGCGGGCAGTTGTCAGTCTTGTGTTTTGTTTCCCACGTGCTCCATGTCCTGGTTTTCCCCCCGTGTTCCTCCTATGCCCTTATTTGGTCCTTCCCGTTCCTCTCCTTATTATGATTATTGATTCCAAGTGTTCTCTCATTAGTTTCCTTGATTAGTCCCATGATTTAAGCCCTGTGTGTTTCCATGTCTAGCGTGCTGTCTTGAACGTTGATCCCGTGTCCTACGTGTGTTTCCCTAGATGTAAAATAAAAACTGTTGATCATGATTCTCCTGCGTTCTCCTCGTTCCTCGCTCCTCACAGTAGGCACACCGTGACAGAAGACAGCACAGAAAACTGAAAGTAAGTGGCGCCCCTTCTCGCCGTTTTTGTTTTCGGTTTTTGAACGTTTTTTTTGTTTTTCTTTGCTCCCTCCGTGATTATGGAGATAGTGGCACGCTTCATTGCGTTAGCCTGTTGAGATCTCCCCTTCGTCGAGTATGCCAGGGAGTTCTGCGGGCTCGCCGCAGCGACGGCATTAGATGACGCCACCATCAACTCTTTGTTATGGCACGGGGCCAATTACCATCGCCCCGTGGACCTCCCAGGCACCACGGGACTAAGCTGGAGGAAAGGATCCTCCGGTGTCTGGAGAGTGTCCGGCCCCGAGCCAGAACCAGCACGCCGGCCACAGCATTCCCAAGCCCGCCGGCCGTTCCTCAGTCAAGCCCGCTGGCCATGGCACTCTCCAGCCCGCCGGCCCCGCTGTTCACCCTTAACCAAAGGAGGAGGATGAGGAGGAAAAGACAGGTTCCAGCCCCAGAGCTCACTCCAGAGAGGGCTCTAGTCCCCGAGTTTAGCCCAGAGAGGGCCCCAGTCCCCGAGTTTAGCCCAGAGAGGGCCACAGTCCCCGAGATTAGCCCAGTGAGGGATCCAGTCCCCGAGTTTAGCCCAGAGAGGGTTAGGGTTAGGGGTGTTTTTTAAGGGGTTGGGGGGGGGGGGAGGGGAGTAGTAGGGGTCCATCCATGGAGGCTGGGCCGAGTGCTGAGGCCTGGATCCCTGAGTTCTCTGTTCCGCCATGGCCACCTGAACTGTCTGCTCCGCCATGTCCTCCTGAACTGTCTGCTCCGCCAGGGCCTCCTAGTATGCCTGCTCCGCCATGGCTTCCTAGACTGTCTGCTCCACCATGGCTTCCGAGACTGTCTGCTCCGCCATGGCTTCCTAGTCTGCCTGCTCCGCCATGGCCTCCTAGTCTGCCTGCTCCGCCATGGTGCCCCGAACTGCCATGGAGGCTGGGCCGAGTGCTGAGACCTGGATCCCCGAGTTCTCTGTTCCGCTATGGCCACCTGAACTGTCTGCTCCGCCATGTCCTCCTGAACTGTCTGCTCCGCACTAGCGTGCTGTCTTGAATGTCGATCCCATGTCCTACATGTGCTTCCCTAGATGTAAAATAAAGACTGTTGATCATGATTTTCCTGCGTTCTTCTCGTTCCTCACAGTAGGCACACCGTGACAGCAGTATTATATGCGTCAGTGTACAAGTGTTTACCAACCTTAAACATTGATGCCCATTTGATCTGCAAGTTTTCCATCACTAACCCTTTAGAACTCTTCATTCTAGCAGTTTAAGTTTTTCGCTATTAGTGCCGCCCACAATCTGTCTTTGCCTCCAAAATTGTCTGGCACAACTGACTTCATAACAACACAGTGATAGCTGCTGTAACTAAAAAGTAGCCCAGTACACACATTAACCCAGCTGGTGGAGGGCCGAGCGGCAGTGTGTCTGGGAACCGGAAAAAGAATTGTTTTTTCCTCGTCCTCGTTCCTCACAATAGGCACACCGTGACAGCAGTATTATATACATCAGTGTACAAGTGTTTACCAACCTTAAACATTGATGCCCAATTGATCTGCAAGTTTTCCATCACTAACACTTTAGAACTATTTATTCCAGCAGTTTAAGTTTTTCCCTATTAGTGCCCCCCACAATCTGTCTGTGCCTCCAAAATTGTCTGGCACAACTGTCTTCATAACAACGCAGTGATAGCTGCTGTAACAACACAGTGATAGCTGCTGTAACTAAACAGTAGCCCAGTGCACACATCAACCTCAAATGTACATGGAATAATAAATTCATCCCTACCGTTTTTATTACATTATGTCTTCTGTTTGTACTGTTTAGGTTTTAATGCTGCATTGCACATCTGAGCTATTTGCACTATTTTAATACTGCTGCAAACTTTTTATAATTGGTAATTTTATATTGCCATTTTAAATAATTTGTATTCTTAAGCTTTACAATCAATTTGAAAGTTTCAAAATACACCTTATTGTACTTGTGCAATGACAAAGATATTCTATCCAATTAGCTCATGCTCTCTCTGTATGTAACAAGCCATTGTTCAGTCATAAATTCAATATAATAATTAAAATAAATGATGGACTTTGTCAAAGATTTTTTACCATTGCTGCCCGGATCTTCTCAATTTCCAACCACTTTTCCAGATGTTGAAATTCCTCCTCAGTTTCTCCAATTCTTCTGAGTGTGTTCACTGTATAAATTAACATAGATTAATCTTTGTCAAAGCTGTGTTTGTTCTGTTGTTTGCTCTTTTTTTATCCTCTTCTTGCGCCATTTTAAAATTGCTTGAGTTTGTAAACACGTACAAATGATAAAACTTTTACTCTATTATCTATTGAATTTTGCAATTAATCCTCTAAACACATGCATGCTGAACCGTGGGGCCTAGTCACAGATCACTGTCAACTACGATCTGTTCTCTTCAATAAAATGTCACGGTTCCTAAACATGATAACAAATAATATAGATAAATAATGAACACGTCAAAATGCATACCCAGATACTTACAAGACCAAGTAGGAATGTCCTTTATCGTTTGTTGTTTGCCAGCTGCTCTCCGACAGGTAAACTTAATGCTTTCTCGTGTAAAAACAAAATTAAAAACGCAACACGTCACCGCGTTGCCAGTAGTCATGTCTCAGTAGGGTTACAATTGCCATCTAGCGGTTTGGAATTGTAATTGCATTTTTATTTCTAAACTGCAAGACAGCCGAATAATATCGTATAATGTGTATGAATGTTACATTTAACAGCTTGTGGGATGCAAGACATCATAATATCAAATGAAAGTAAACTTTATAAAAATTTAAATTAGCATTATTTTTGGCATAATAAATAATCCTATTTTTAATAATTCTGTAAAATAATTAAATAAAATATAAAATAATGCTAATTTAAATGTTTCAAAAGTTTACTTGCATTTGATAAGAAGCTGCGTCGGCGACAATTACATGTAAACAATTTTAAGGCTATTTTGGCTATGCTGATCGCTGGTCTGGTAGGGCTATAGCCAAGCCGTTAAAATTAGACCACTGATTGCCTCGATTTCGCCAGGTGGGCTAAATGCAGACTTCATGTAGCCCGTCCAATTTAGAGCTAAAACGTGGCTACATATAGACCATGTCATGAAATGACACTTATATCTTTGTAGATATTATTGACACTACGAACATGATGGGATATATCAACCATCTCATGCACTGCCTGGCCAAAAACTACAGTGAACCAGTTTTGACTATAAGTGGGCTACAAATAGCCGCTCTGACTACGAATTAAATCATGGCTACTCTCAGGCTACGTATTGAACATGTCAAAAAAATTAAACCAAACACCTTGTAAATGCTATTGACTTTGCTTACATGATGGAATGTCATACATCTCACAAGTTATTTTGCCAAAAAATGACATGTAACCAAATTCAAGGTTATTTGGGCTACAAGTGGGTTACACATAGCCGGACTATATTGGGTCTTTAGTTAACCGAGACGGTGAAATGACGGCTATAGCTTGCTGTGATGGATATTTCAAGCACCAGTGATTAAGAAATGATGTATTCAGCAGCTCTACATTCATCTTGCCTCGATGCATCTTCTTCGTCTACTTACTTCCTCTTCGTCGTTAGGTATCAATGTGTGCTCGGCAGAACTGTTTTGTGCTTGAGCGCCACCAAGTCGTGTTTTACTGTAACTTCAGCAGCTCCAGGCACGTGAACAAAAGCGCCAATCTCATTGGTCAGCCAGTTTTTAACACGGCGCGTAAAACCAAAAAAAAATGAGCCCAAGGCGTTTTCTAAAAAAATGCAAGCGCCTGGCATTTATGTCTTGCGTTTTGTGCATCGGTGTGCACACTCACATTGGTGCCCTTTGTTTAGTCACGAGGTATTAAACATCGGCGACAATCGCGCGCCATAATCGTCCCGGTGTACACAAGCCTTAACTCTAACCCTAATTTAAAAATAACTGCAGGACTTGAGAATTTGAGACCACTGTGGACATCTATACTTTATTTTTATGAAATAAAGATATTTTTTGCACAATATTTCAGATACACTACACTTAAACAATAACTTTTATCCCTTTATCTAGTCTTTAAAAACTAGTGTAACACACTGCCTTTACCTATACAACCAATTTTATTTAACAATTTGAACATAAAATGAAAAAAATATTAATGTTTAATTCCTTAAAACATTGGCAAGTAGTCCCAATTAAAAAAACACTGCCTTAAAATAGACAATTCTCTTGTTTCAACAAATCTCACCTGTATAGATTCTGGAGAGGTTGAGCAACTGTCCTCCTCTCTGACGTGAAAGCAGAAGAACCCAATAATCACTTATGCTGTCCACATTTACTCATTTAGCAGATGCTTTTATCCAAAGCGACTTACACGTAGGAGAGCATATAACAGGTTAAGGCTAGATGGCATACAGCAAAAACTACTGGGCATGCGCACATCAATATAGCGTAATTTTTGTCACACTGTACAACAATAATTACTATTTTTGCATTATTGTAAGGGGTAGGTTTAGGGTTGGGGTAGGTGTAGACATTAATAAAACACGATCTAATAGATAGAAAACTCAATTTATTGTTACCTTCCGGTTTTTGCTGTATCCCTTCTAGCCACAACCAATATAACAAACACTAGATCCAGCGCGAGGTCACATGCTTCATTCTTAACGTGTACTTTTGTCGCGTCGCATGATCGCATGCGGTGTAGATGCTCCGTTAGGTCAAATAATAACGTAGAAATTCGATCGCGTGATTCGTGTCATTGCGACATAACACATACTTACAGTGTTTGAAAAAGGACTTAATCGTCCTCTGCTTTTTTCTGGGGTGCATTTTACGCCCAAACCACCCAAAGAGCAAAGTGAAATTCTGTTGCTCCTCCAAAGCAAAAGGAGCAACAGGATATTTAAAGCTCATGACAGACGCGCCCAAGAGATGATTCGCCTTCTGATTGGCTGAATGTTACTTCACTCAGATCTAAATAAACAAATCAGAGAACACGGGCTGAAATATCGGCGGTGGGTCAAACAAAGTGCAGGGGACATGCCCCCGTCCCCTTCTACGCCCCTGCCTGTCACATAGGTCAGAGCTGCGCGTGTTTTCATAAGCTGGAAACATTGTCAACAAAAAACGTCTCCGGTTACTTGTCGTAACATCGGTTCCCTGAGTGTGGGAATAAGACATCGCGAAGGTTTCTCCGCTATGGGAACTCCTTCCCTTCCAACCTTTCCTGAAGTCCTATTGGCTCAACCCAGTCCAATTGACTGGCCAATTGTCGCAAAGTATGCAAATCGCATGCAAATACTAACGAGCTCGAGAGGCAGTATAAAATGCGGTGCACACGACAATTATGTCAGAATCTGATACTGAACGCTGCTTCTAGCTGGTCGAGCAGCGAACACGCCGACTTCCGCAAAGTCTCATTCCCGCTCTCAGGGAACCGAGGTTACAATAGTAACCGGAGACGTTCCCTCTCGAGCTTCACTCGACATCGCGGAGCTTCTCCGCTTATGGGAACGATATATTCCCCAGCGGGGAACGAATCGAGGCAATAGCGGCCACATAGATTTTCAGAGTTGCCGGTAGACATCCACTATCAAGTCAAGTCAAGTCAAGTCTGCTTTATGTACAGCACATACACAGAGAATTGAAATTGCGTTACTCTCAGACCCTTGGTGCATACAGATAACACTAACAGTAG